TCCTCATTTTTGGTGTGTCTTTAGGGATTGTTTTTCCCTTTTTTTCTGGATTTTTTTCCTCCTTTTTTCTGTGTCTTTATGGATTTTCCCCCATTTTTTCCATGTCTTTATGGATTTTCCCCCCCTTTTTCCATGTCTTTATGGATTTCCCCCCATTTTTTCCATGTCTTTATGAACTTTCTCCCCATTTTTTCCATGTCTTTATGGATTTCCCCCCCTTTTTCCATGTCTTTATGAACTTTCTCCCCCTTTTTCCATGTCTTTGTGGATTTCCCCCATTTTCCCATGTCTTTACGGATTTTTCCCCCTTTTCCCCATGTCTTTACAGATTTTCCCCCCTTTTTCCCACATCTTTATGGATTTCCCCCCATTTTCCCACGTCTTCATGAACTTTCCCCCATTTCCCCGTCTGTATGATTCCCCCTTTCTGTGTGCTAACCCAAAACCGCCCGGGGCAGGGCAGGGCAGCAAGAAAATCAAATTAAATTACATTTCAAAAACTCAGTTCAATCCAAAATGAATTCCTGGGGCTGTCACGTTCCCTTGGCAGAGGATTCCTGCTGAAACCCAGCCCTGGATCCCCTTTGCTCAGGTCCCAGGCAAACATGGGAGAAAATAATAAAATAAAAAAAAAATTTATAAAATAATAAAATAAAATAAGATAAAGTAAAAATAAAATAAAATAAAAATTTAAAAAATAATAAAATAAAAAATAAAATAAAATAGAAATAAAATAAGATAAAGTAAAAATAAAATTGAATTTAAATTTTGTTATTTTCTGGAAAAAACTTGAATTTAAATTTGGTTATTTTCTGGAAAAAATTGAATTTAAATTTGATTATTTTCTGGAAAAAACATGATTTAATAATATTTTTTCACTGTTTCTTTAGGATATTTCCTTGAAGAAAAAATAACCAAAAAAGACCCAAACTTTGTGGAGCTCGGGGAGGGGTTGGGGTGGGTTTTTTTTCTTGGAAAAAGAAGAACTTGTAGTGGTTGGCTGCTGCAGGAGCTGTGCCCTCCTGAGATAAAGCTCTGCAGATAAGGAAGGGCTGCAGGGAGCAGAGCTGGGTGACAATGCAGGGTAATCTGAGTAGTGGGACAATCCAGTAATGGGAATAATGGGAATAATGGGGGTAATCTAATAATGGGAATAATCTGAATAATGGGGGTAATCTAATAATGGGAATAATCTGAATAATCTGAATAGTGGGAATAATCCAATAATGGGAATAATCTAATAATGGGAATAATCTGAATAGTGGGAATAATGGGAATAATCTAATAATGGGAATAATCTGAATAGTGGGAATAATGGGAATAATCTAATAATGGGAATAATCTGAATAGTGGGATAATCTAATAATGGGAATAATCTGAATAGTGGGAATAATCCAATAATGGGAATAATCTAATAATGGGAATAATCTGAATAGTGGGATAATCTAATAATGGGAATAATCTGAATAGTGGGAATAATCCAATAATGGGAATAATCTAATAATGGGAATAATCTGAATAGTGGGATAATCTAATAATGGGAATAATCTGAATAGTGGGAATAATCCAATAATGGGAATAATCTAATAATGGGAATAATCTGAATAGTGGGATAATCTAATAATGGGAATAATCTGAATAGTGGGAATAATCCAATAATGGGAATAATCTAATAATGGGAATAATCTGAATAGTGGGATAATCTAATAATGGGAATAATCTGAATAGTGGGAATAATCCAATAATGGGAATAATCTAATAATGGGAATAATCTGAATAGTGGGATAATCTAATAATGGGAATAATCTGAATAGTGGGAATAATCCAATAATGGGAATAATCTAATAATGGGAATAATCTGAATAGTGGGATAATCTAATAATGGGAATAATCTGAATAATCTGAATAGTGGGAATAATCCAATAATGGGAATAATCTAATAATGGGAATAATCAGAATAATGGGAATAATGGGAGTAATGGGAATAATATAATAATGGGAATAATCTGAATAATCAGAATAATGGGAGTAATCTAATAATGGGAGTAATGAGAATAATGGGAATAATCTAATAATGGGAATAATCAGAATAATGGGAGTAATGGGAATAATCTAATAATGGGAATAATGGGAGTAATCTAATAATGGGAATAATGGGAATAATTGCTCTGTGTGTCATTGCAGGGTCCCTCTGCTGCTGAGTAATCTGAATAGTGGGAATAATGGGAGTAATGGGAATAATCTAATAATGGGAATAATCTGGATAATCTGAATAATGGGAATAATGGGAGTAATCTAATAATGGGAATAGTGGGAATATTGGGAATAATGGGAATCATCTAATAATGGGAATAATCTGAATAATAGGAATAATTGCTCTGTGTGTCATTGCAGGGTCCCTCTCCTGCTTCCCAGCTCGCTGGGAAAAATGGGAATTATGGGAATAATCTGATAATGGGAATAATGGGAATAATCTGATAATGGGAATAATGGGAATAATCTGATAATGGGAATAATGGGAATAATCTCAATAATTGCTCTGTGTGTCCTTGCCAGGGGTCCCTCTACTTGCTCCCAACTCCCTTGGAAAAATGGGAATAATGGGACTAATCAGAATAATGGGAATATTCAGAATAATGGGATATTCAGAATAATTGCTCTGTTTGCCCTTGCCAGGGTTCCCTCTGCTGGTTCCCAACTCCCTTGGAAAAATGGGAATAATCTAATAATGGGAATAATCTGAATAATCCCTCTGTGGCTGTGTGAAGGAATTTTGGCTGTGGGAAGGAGTGATTATTCTGATTATTCCCGTCATTCTGATGATTCCCATCATTCTGATGATTCCCATTATCCTGATGATTCCCATCATTCTGATGATTCCCAGGCACTGCAAATTTGACACCAAAACTTTAAATCCAGACTGAATTTTCAGACAATTCTTGTTTTTTGTGGCTCCGGTGTGAATTCTCGGTCAGAATAACCCCCTGACATCAGAGCCAGCCTGAGCCCAGAGTGAAATCCAGCTGTGAGGGCAGCAGAAGGGACCAAAAATAACAAAAATAACAAATAAATGAATGAATGAAGCTGTTTTTGCACTGGAGCCCGCGCGTGCTGGTGAGTGGAATGGAGCGCACCAACAGGCGTGGGTGGGCTCAGGCACTGCCAAGGGAGCGGAGAAAAGGGAGTGCTGTGCAGCAGCTCAGGAATATAAATATATAATATAAATATAAATAGATAAATAGATAAATAGAGAAGGGATGTGTCTGAGCAGGAGAAAAGGGAGTGCTGTGCAGTAAATGTGGAGTAACCATCTCATCTTTATGCAAAAATAAAGAATAGAAAAAAAGAAATTAAAATATATATATATACATAAAATATAAATAATATAAATAAAATATTCTAAATACATTATACATTAATCACTATAATACATTAATAAATATTAATAAATCAATAAATAGAATAAATATATTATAAATGAACTGTAAAGAACATAAACAATAAATAAATAGAAAATAGAGAAGGGATGTGTGTGAACAGGATAAAAGGGAATATTGTGGAGTAAATAATCTCATCTTTATGCAAAGATAAAGAAAAAAAATTTAAAAAATATATACATAAAATAGAAACAATATAAATAAAATAATATAAATTCAAATACTATATCATACATTAAAAACTATAATACAGTAATACAATTAATCAATAAATAGAATAAATATATTATAAATGAACTGTAAAGGACATAAACAATAAATAGAGAATAGAGAAGGGATGTGTGTGAGCAGGACGAAGGGAGCGCTGTGCAGTAAATGTGGGGTAAATAATCTCTTTATGCAAAAATAAAGAATAGAAAAAAAGAAATTAAAATATATATATATACATAAAATATAAATAATATAAATAAAATTATTCTAAATACATTATACATTAATAACCATAATACAATAACAAGTATTAATAAATCAGTAAATAGAATAAATGTAAACGAACTGTAAAGGACATAACCAATAAATGGCTGGAGAAGGGATGTGTGTGAGCAGGACGGGCTGGTTTCTGGCAGGGACAGATCCCATGGTGCGACCTGCATTTATTGCAGGGCAGGGACAGTGTCTGCACCCAGCAAAAAGGGATCTTACAGCTTTTCCAGCCCTGCGAGATAAGGAGTGAGAAGGGACGGAAATGACTGCAGCTCGTTAGGAATAATTAGAATGAACTGGAAATAATTAGAAATAATTAATAATTATGACGGGTGGTCTCTGCTGTTGATGCCTGTGGGGTTTTTGTTGGCTTGGTGCAGGTGGTGACACTTCTCCAGCAGTGCTGGTCAGGCTGTGTGGGGTGTTCTATCCCATTAAAGCTGCACTCATCCCTCCCTGAGCTCCCAAAACACCCTCAGGGGTTGGGAATCCCTGGATTTGGGGTTCCCCAAATTTCCCAGAGTTTTGGGAAGCGAGGAGAAGCTTTGGGGAGTCCGACCTGTAGCTTGAGGGGGACAGCAAAACCGAGGGAGGGAGGCAACTTCCAGGGGCTGGAGAGGGGAAAGGGGAAAGGCTTCACACAGGGAACGTGGGATTGGGAAACTGGGGGGGAATTCTGGCTGTGGGAGGAATTTTGGGGGTGAGGGAATTCCCAGAGGAGCCGTGGCTGCCCCATCCCAAGGCTGGGCTGGAACAGCTCAAGGTGGTGGAAGTGTGGGGTGGGATGCGATGATCCTAAAAGTCCTCCCCTAAAAGCATGATTAATTCTGGGATAATTAATTGGGGAGGAATTTTGGCTGTGGGAAGGAATTTTGGTGGGGATGGAATTCCCAGAGGAGCCGTGGCTGCCCCATCCCTGGAAGCCCCCAATGTTGGCTTGGAACAGCTCGAGGTGGTGGGATGAGATGATCCTAAAAGTCCTCCCCTAAAAGCATGATTAATTCTGGGATAATTAACTGGGAAGGAATTCTGGCTGTGTGAAGGAATTTTGGTGCTGAAGGAATTCCCAGAGGAATCCCAAGGCCAGCTCAGAGCAGCTCGAGGTGGTGGAAGGTGTTGGGGTGGGATGAGATGATCCTAAAAGTCCTCCCCAACCCAAAGCATTGTTAATTCTGGGATAATTAAGGTTCTCCGGGTGTGTTTTCCCCACTTTGGAGCGAGGGTGAGGCTCCTTCATCCCAAATTGGTCACGCCCGAGTTCAGCCGAGGCTGAGCTTTGTGTTTGAAATCTGCCAGGCCGGGGAAATGAGGCCTGCTGTTAATTTATGAGGGGAAAAAAAGCAGGTCAGCACGTCTGAAAGGTGCTGACAAGCATAAAGCACCTGAGATTGTCAAAAAAAGGGGGAAAAAAGAGGCTGGAAATGGTTTTTTATCCCCACGTGAGTGAAATGTTGTGGCCGAGGTTTCGCAGTCAGAGGGAGGGGGGAAGAGGTGCCTGAATTCAGGAATTCTCATTTCCTAATCAAACACCCCTTGGAGGGTTTGACCTTCCAAAGTGGGGCTGTGGGAGCAGCTCTGTGGCTATGAAAAGTGATTTTTGTCCTTGCAGAGCCCCTCCAGAGCCACCTCAAGGTTCTCACAGCAGCAACTCCAGCCCTGAAGATTCCAGGCTGAAAAAGCTGCAGCATAAAAGGCAGAAATAACAGAAAGTCAGAGCTGAAAAAGAGAATGATTCCATTTAAATAGAATTATTCCTTCATCCACACTCTGCAGCCAAGGTCAGGCTGACCTTTCCTCTTGTAGGTTGGGTTTGGGACATCTCAGAGCAGGAAAAACCTGTGCAAACCACCCTGGGAGGAAAGGGACTCCTGGAAGGCAGCACATCAGATCCAGAGTGGCCTCTGTGGCACGTGTGAGGCACTGGATCCCTCTCTTCCAAAAATAACCTCTGCTTGCTCCTGCCAGTCCTGGGGACTCATTCCTGGGACTATTTTTTCCCCTTTTTCCAGAGGGTTTTAAATTTCCACCTTCCTTCTCCAGTGTCTCGTTCAGCAGTCCCAGGGAGACACCAAAATTCACACTGAGAGAGGCAGGATCTGCTCCTTTTCCCTGGAAATTATGGATATTTTAAATTTCCACCTCCCTTCTCCAGTGTCCCTTCAGCAGCCCCAAGGAGACACCAAAATGCTCACTGAGAGAGGCAGGATCTGCTCCTTTTCCCTGGAAATTATGGATATTTTAAATTTCCACCTTCCTTCTCCAGTGTCTCATTCAGCAGTCCCAGGGAGACACCAAAATTCACACTGAGAGAGGCAGGATCTGCTCCTTTTCCCTGGAAATTATGGATATTTTAAATTTCCACCTTCCTTCTCCAGTGTCTCATTCAGCAGTGCCAAGGAGACACCAAAATTCACACTGAGAGAGGGCAGGATCTGCTCCTTTTCCCTGGAAATTTTGGATATTTTGGTGTTTTATTGCAGCTGAGTTCTTTGTGGGTGAGAAGGGTTGATATGAATGGCACAGTTTTTATCTGGCACCCCCTAAAAATCCATTTATACCTTAAAGGAATGGAAAGGATCCTGGAAATGCCCTTTGACAGGGAATTGGGAGAGGGATTTCCTGTTGAAAGTGGCCCTGGGGGTGGGTCACTCCCATCCCTGTGCTGTGTCACCAGCATATTTCCCATTTTTGACATTTTTCCTTTGTTTTTTTGGGCTGCATTTAGGAGCTGGAGCTCTCCTGGCCCCGTGGAAGTGTGCCTGGTATGGGTAATGGTGTGAGAGAAGGTCCAGTGGAATTCCAGAGGGATGTGGAGCCCGTCACAGCCCGGATTCCTGCAGAGGTGAGAGCAGGGGCTGGGCTGGGGGTCCAGAGCAGCTCCAGGGGGGCAATCCACCCCTCTCAGGGGAGATCCCACCTGCAGTGCTGCATCCAGCCCTGCGAGGACCTGGAGGGGCTGGAGCCAGTCCAGAGGAGGCTCCAGGATGATCAGAGGGATGGGGCAGTGGGGAAAAGCTGGGAAAATTGGGATTGTGCAGCCTGGAAAAGATCCAGAGTCACCTGACTGTGACCCTGCAGTGCCTGAGGGAGCCCCAGGGAACGTGGAGAGAGACTTTGGATAAAGGATGGAATTCCAGGGCACAGGGAATGGCTCCCCACTGCCTGAGGGGAGGGATGGATGGGATATTGGGCAGGAATTCCTGGCTGGGATGGAATTCCCAGAGCAGCTGCCCCTGGAGCTGCCCAAGGCTGGAGAAGGGAAGCTCCAGAGAAACCCTGGAGCTGTTCCCAGAGCCTGGAAGTGCTCCAGGAGAGCTGGGGAGGGATTTGGGATGAAGACGGAGAGACAGGACACAGGGAATGGCTTGGCTTCAGGCTGGAAAAAGGGAATTTGTGTGGGATTTTGGGAAGGAATTGCTGGCTGGGCTGGAATTCCCAGAGCAGGATCCCTGGAAGTGCCCAGGGCCAGCTTGGAGCAGCCTGGGCTGGTGGAAAATGCCCCTGCTCATGGAATGGGATGAATTTTCAGCTCCTTCCACCCCAACCCAGTCTGGATTTGAGCTCTGGACTCCCAAAAGCTGCAGCATTTGTACAATCCATGGGGTGAGGGGATCCAGACCTTCCCATCCCCTTGGGAAGGGCTTGGGAATTCCCAGTGGCACACAGGACAGTTCCCAGTGACAGACAGGGCAATTCCCAGTGACAGACGGGACAGTTCCCAGTGGCACACAGGACAGATCCCAGTGACACAGGACAGATCCCAGCCCAGTCTGGATTTGAGCTCTGGACTCCCAAAAGCTGCAGCATTTGTACAATCCATGGGGTGAGGGGATCCAGACCTTCCCATCCCCTTGGGAAGGGCTTGGGAATTCCCAGTGGCACACAGGACAGTTCCCAGTGACAGACAGGGCAATTCCCAGTGACAGACGGGACAGTTCCCAGTGGCACACAGGGCAGATCCCAGTGACAGATCCCAGTGACATACAGGACCATTCCCAGTGACAGGGCAGATCCCAGTGGCACACAGGACAGATCCCAGTGACCCACAGGACCATTCCCAGTGACAGTTCCCAGTGACACAGGGCAGATCCCAGTGACACAGGACAGATCCCAGTGACAGATCCCAGTGGCACACAGGACAGATCCCAGTGACAGTTCCCAGTGGCACACAGGACAGATCCCAGTGACAGTTCCCAGTGGCACACAGGGCAGATCCCAGTGACACAGGGCAGATCCCAGTGACACAGGACAGATCCCAGTGACAGTTCCCAGTGGCACACAGGACAGTTCCAGTCCAGGCTGAGGTGGCAGGCTGCACCAGCAGCACCACTCCAGGCTTTCCCTGCTCCTGGGCTGCTTGGAACCTCAGGAGAAGGGAGAAGGGAGGTGCCTCCCAGCCTTGCTGGGTTTTAACCCAAATCTGGGGCTGAAGTTCACTTTGCACGGCTGGGAAGGGGGAATTGAGCTGATCCAGGGCTTTTGGGTCATAAACATTAACTTTGGGGTTGGGAAACACAAGGAAAATGTTAACTGCTCTCCTCCACCAAGTGTCAAAAGTTCACACATCAAGCCTGGGCTTGTTCTCACTGCACAACCTCCACGGGGTTGGATTTTGTGGCTTTTTGTTGTTGTTGTTATTCTCTGTGGGAGAAAAATGCTGATTTTATAAATATGAGCTGTGGCGGGAGTTCCAGCAGCAAAATCCCTCTCATTCCACCCATCAGAGGGGGAAACTGCCTGGATTTACCCTCAGGAGCTTGGGAATGGTGTGGGAATAGGGCTTGTGTGCTTTTCCAGAAACTTCCCTTCTGCCCATGCCTAAAAATCGTGGGGAGGGAGAAGAAAGAGAAATATCAGGGATAAAACAACACATGCAAGAGGAATGCTTGGAATTTTGCCTCACAGTCCAACCAGCAATTCACTGTGCTGGAAACTCAGTGAAACATTTTGACCCAAATCCTGGCCCCGGGGTGAATGCTGCAGAAAAGATGAAATATTATTCCTTGTGGCATTGATTTTTTTTTTTTCTCCTCTATCCAATGGTTTTTTTTCCAGGATAACCAGGAGAAGAAGAAAGTGCTGAACTCCCTGATGTCTGGGGCTCTGGCTGGGGCTGTGGCTAAAACTGCAGTGGCTCCTCTGGACAGGACAAAAATCATGTTCCAGGGTGAGTCCTCTGGGCTTTTTTCCCAAATTGTTTTTAACTTTAAGCCCTTTGTGCTCATCCATCTCCTTCTCCTGGAGATGTGGAGGCTCTGGGAAAGGGGAATTGGGCTGTGGGGGTTCCCTGCTGAGGGCTGGGTGCCCAAATTGTGCCCGAAATGAGAGGCAGCAGGCCCTGGAGCTGCTGCATGCCTGGATTTGTGTGCTCTGGCACCCTGAATTGTCACAGAAAATGACATTCCTCTGAGTGGAACAGAGAATTTCCCTGTGTTTAGCAGGATTTGGGGATTTTGGGATCTGTTGCAGTGCAATTCCTCCAATTATCCCAAAGGGAACAGCACAGGCCTTTAATTCAGTGGACATTTGGGAAAGCCAAGAATTTTAATCCTGGTGACGTCCCAGATTAACTGAGTTGGGCTCAGCCTAATCCCTGGCTGACATTTAATTTAGAATTGATTTCTACTCACATGATTTTCATTCTGGGCAGAGCAAGGAGCTCTGCAATTGCTGGGATGTGGATCAGGGGGGCTGGGATTACCTGAATTTTTGGGTTTTCCCACCCAAATCACACAGCCAGGTTCATTTTAGGGTGGAAACATCAAGGGCAGGGAGGAGAGGGAAGCCACAGAGCTGGGCTGAGCCAGGGGATCAGCTGGAATTTGGGCAGGCCACATTCCTAAAAATCCCTGTGTGGTTCAGCCCATCCCAGGGGCTGGAGAGGGTGGGATTAAAGTCTCTCAATGGGAGCAATTTCTTGGGATCTGGTGGGGTTTTTTTTAGGTTCTTGCTGCCCTGAGGGGTTTTATTCCCTGGCTGTGAGGAAGGAAAATATCTTTGGATCATCAAAGTGATGCCTTGAGTTAGGAATGGGGCTTGGGATGGTGGAAAGTGTCCATGGCAGAGGGGTGGATGAGCTTTCCCAGCCCAAACCATCCCAACAACTCAATAAATTCCCCACAACTCAATCATTTTATTATTTTGAATAATTTTTTTAAAGGAACAAAACCCCCTTGATAACCATCACTGTTCATCGAGGTAGTTTTTATTCCTTAAAATTAAAAAAAAAAAAAAAAAAGAAAAATTCCAAATAAAAGCATTGAATTGCACAGAGGAGCAGCAGTGGGGAAAAGTGGATTTGCATGGAATTGTTGGATACACTCGAGAGGCTCCCAGAGCCTCAGATGAGCGAGGCAGGAGCTGCAGCAGCCCCTTAATTGGAGCCACATTCATTAAAGCTTTCCAGCCAGGGTTTTCCCTTCCTTTGGCAGAGCTGCCAAACAAATCCTGCCTCCCAAAGCCTGCCTCGTGCCTTTGGAGGTGCTGTCACTTTGGATGGATGCAAGGGAAAGGAGAAAAAAAATCAAAACCAGGGAGTTCATGGGGGTTTGGCTGGGATGGAGCTGCTCTTGCGTGGAGCTTCGCTCTGCCCTCGCTGGATTCTGGAATGAGGCTGGGATCTGGGCATGGAAATGCTCTGAAAAAGAAGTGAGCAGTGCAGTTTTGATGGTTTTCCTTTCATTAGTTGTTTTTATTTATTCATTTATTCTGCTGAAACTGAATTTTCCTAACAAGCAGCTGGGGAAAAAAAATGGAATTTTGTGCTAAATTATGGGAGCGTTTATGAGACAAAGAATTTCTGCTTCCTCTTGCATTCATTCTTTTCCTTCTGTTTTTATCCCTTTAGCCAAAACACCTGTTTATTTATCCCTTATTTAGGGATTCATGGATCAATATTTGTTTTTATGTCTTGCAAGCCCTAATCTTTTTTTTGTTGTTGTTTTTATTTTTAGTGTCTTCAAAAAGATTTTCTGCCAAGGTGAGGTGATGTCTGTCTGCTGTTGGTCTGAAATGTTTAATTAATCTTTTGTTGGTATTTCACTTTTTTGGGGATTTATCAGCAGCAGTCCATGAAAACATAGAGGGAAAGACTGGGAATGGTGTTTTTAATTACAGGATTAATTAGGACAGTGATTGCTGAGGGGATTTAAACTCCAGGTTGTACCTGTGATGTGACAAGAAAAGTGACATCACTCAGGGCTTTGGCTTTTGGGACCTTTTTTAGTGGCTTTGGGACCTTTCCTGGTGTTTGTGGGACTTTCCTGGTGATTTGGGGACCTTTTTTTGTGTTTATGGGACCTTTTTTTGTGTTTATAGAATCTTTTTTTGTTTATAGGACCTTTTCTTGTGCTTATGGGACCTTTTCTAGTGATTTGGGATGTTTTGCAGTGATTTTAGGACCATTCTTTGTGATTTTGGGACCTTTCCTGGTGATCTTGGGACCATTTCTAGTGCTCATTCTCTTCCCCAACCACACAGGAGTTGTTCCAGCATTTACAGGGAATTAAATCCGGGATCTCACCCCTCTCCTGGCTTCCTGAGGGCTTTTTCCCTGTGCATTCCAGCTTTTCCACGCGTGATGTGTGTGATCCTAATGTTCCTGCCTGGCCCCAGGGAGATGAATTTGGGTTTGGGAAGGGGTTTTGTACAAATTGTGCCTTCCCTGAGAGGGAAAACGAGGCAGGCTGGGATCTAAAAATCCTTCCTTGCTCTTGCGTGGAGCTTCACTCTGCCCTCACTGGATTCTGGAATCCAGGCATGGAAATGTTCTGAAAAACAAATGCACAGTGCAATTTTGATATTTTCCTTTAATTAATTTATATTTATTTATGCATTTATTCCACACAAACTGCGTTTTAAAGCACCTGGATGTGCCAGGGTGGCCATGACAGCTCCGTGGGCAGGGTTTATCTGTGGGTTCAGCTCCCTGCCTTGGTTCCTGCTCTCCCTGCCCCTTGGGCTGCTCCCCTCAGTGATTTACCCTCTCTCCCTGCTCCCCTCAGTGATTTACCCTCTCTCCCTGCTCCCCTCAGTGATTTACCCTCTCTCCCTGCTCCCCACGGCTGGTTTCTCCGCTCCCTCCCCTTGGCCTGCTCCCCACGGCTGCTTTGTCCCCTCAGGAAGCGTACAGGCTGATCTATCACACCTACCTCAACGAGGGCTTCTGGAGCCTCTGGAGAGGGAACTCGGCCACCATGGTGCGGGTGATCCCCTACGCCGCCATCCAGTTCTGCGCCCACGAGGAGTACAAGCAGATCCTGGGCAACTACTACGGATTCCAGGGAAAGTAAGAGGCTGCGGGGCTGGGGTCCTGCTGGGGTCCTGAGGGTGGGAGCTCCAACATGGAGGCTGTGAGGGGGAAGCTCTGAGGAGAAGCTGTGAGCTGGAAGCTCCAAGATGGAATCTCTGAGGGGAAAGCTGTGAGGGGGAAGCTCCAAGATGGAATCTCTGAGGGGAAAGCTGTGGGGGGAAGCTCCAAGATGGAAGTTCCAAGGGGGAAGCTCTGAGGTGGAGGTTCCAGAATGGAAGCTGTGAGAGGAAAGCTGTGAGGGGAAGCTCCAAGGTGAGGGAAAGCTCTAGGGAGGAAGCTTTGAGTTGGAAGCTCTGAGGGAAAAGCTGTGAGGAGAAGCTCCATGGGGAAAGCTGTGAGGCGAAATTCCCAGGGGGAAGCTCTGATGGGGAAGCTGTGGGGGGAAATTCCAAGATGGAAGCTCCGAGGGGGAAGCTGTGAGCAGAAGTTCTGAGAGGAAACTGAGGTGGAAGTTCTGAGGGGAAGTTCCAAGACGGAAGCTTTGAGTTCTGAGGGGAAGCTGTGAGGGGAAGTTCTGGGAGGAAGCTATGAAGGGAACCTGTGAAGAGAAGCTCCAAGGGGGAAGTTCCGAGAGGATGCTCTGAGGGGAAGCTGTGAGGTGGAACCTTTGAGGGAGAAGCTCCAGGGGGAAGGAAACTGTGAGGGGGAAGCTCCAAGATGGAAGCTCCAAGAGGGAAGCATGAGGGGAAGTTCTGAGGGGAAGCTGTGAGGGGAAGTTCCAAGATGGAAGCTCCATGAGAGAAGTTGGGGAAGTTCCAAGATGGAAGCTCCAAGAGAGAAGCTGTGAGGGGGCTGCTCCAAGGTGGAACCTTTGAGGGGGAGGCTGAGGGGATGCTCCAGCCGAGCCCTGAGCCTCCTCTCCCCACGGATTTTCCCTGTGGGATGGCCGGGAATGCCCAGCAGGCAGAGCAGTGCCGTTCCCAGCAGCCAGGTGGGATTTGCAGCTGCAGGTGACGTGTGGTCTCTTCTCTCACCCCACTCCAGGGCACTGACGCCTTTCCCTCGCTTCATTGCCGGCTCCCTGGCTGGCACCACGGCTGCCATGCTCACCTACCCCCTGGACATGGTCCGTGCCCGCATGGCTGTCACGCCCAAGGAGATGTAAGTGCCTCATACACAACTTTTTGGGTTTTTTAAAAGGTCACGTGGTTTTATTGCCATTTTTTGGATAATTTCTTGCTGGGAGGCTTTGGTGGGATAAAGCCCCGGGGTCTGAGCAGCGATTCAGTGTCCAGAGGTGTGGATGTGGGAGGAGATGGATACTGGGAGGCCAGCTGGATCCAGGAAAACCCAAGAGAGCTGAAACCCCCTCTGAGCTGCCCGATGAGCTCGGAGCCGAATTAATTACCAATTAATCCATCAGGGAGCCCTGCTGGGAACACCCCAGCCGCTGACCAGCGCAGGTCTGCTCTCCCCCTGTCCCCACGGCAGGTACAGCAGCATTGTCCACGTCTTCATCCGGATATCCCGTGAGGAGGGGCTGAAAACCTTGTACAGGGGCTTCACACCCACCATCCTGGGCGTCATCCCCTACGCCGGCCTCAGCTTCTTCACCTACGAGACGCTGAAGAAGGTGCACGCAGGTAAATGCAGGAAATGCCGGAGGGTTTGGGGTGCTGCAGTCCTGGTGTTGGGGTGGGGGGCTCTGTGCAGCTCCGGGCTGTGGACAAGGAAAGCTGCAGGAAAGCTGGGTCTGAATTGTGGGGGGAAAAAGGGAATTTCCAGGTGGAGAGGGACTTGGTTGTGCACTAAGTTGGGAGCAAAACCTGGGGAGTTGTACCTGTGACTGTCAGTAAATGTGGCATCACTCGGGGTTTTGTTTCGTGGGACCTTTTCTAGTGATTTGGGGACCTTTTCTAGTGATTTTGGGACCCTTTCTAATGATTTTGCTTGGGAGCTCAACCTGGGGAACAAAAGCTTGGGAACAAAACCTTGGGAGAGGAACTTGGGAACAAAATCTTGGGAGCAAAACTTGGGGAGCAAAACCTCAGGAGAGAAACCTGGAGGAATTAAAACCTTGGGAGCAAAACCTGGGGAACAAAACTTTGGGAGCAAAATTTTGGGAGCTCAGCCTGGGGAACAAAACCTTGGGAGTAAAACCTTGGGAGCTCAAGCTGGGGAACAAAACCTTGGGAGCAAAACTTTGGGAGCTCAACTTGGGGAGCAAAATTTTGGGAGCTCAACCCGGGGACCAAATCCTGGGGAACAAAACTTTGGGAGCTAAACCTGGGGAACAAGTCCTGGGGAACGAAACTTTGGGAGCTAAACCTGGGGAACAAGTCCTGAGGAACAAAACTTTGGGAGCTCAACCTGGGGAACAAAACCTTGGGAGCAAAACTTTGGGAGCTCAACCTGGGGAACAAATCCTGGGGAACAAAATTTTGGGAGCTCAACCTGGGGAACAAAACCTCGGGAGAGCAACTTGTGGGAAAACAAAACGCGGGTAACGAAACCTCCCGAGCGCAACCTCAGGAAGGAAGCCTCCGTCCCTCCACCGTGTCCCCTGAGCGGTGAGTGGATTCCAAGGACCCCCCTGCGTGTCCCCCCAGAGCACAGCGGGAAGGCGCAGCCCTCGCCCCCGGAGCGGCTGCTGTTCGGGGCGTGCGCCGGCCTCATCGGCCAGTCGGCCTCGTACCCGCTGGACGTGGTGCGGCGCCGCATGCAGACGGCCGGCGTGCTGGGCCACAGCTACAGCTCCATCCTGCTCACCATGCAGGACATCGTCAGGGAGGAGGGACTCGTCAGGGGCTTGTACAAAGGGCTCAGCATGAACTGGGTGAAAGGCCCCATCGCCGTGGGGATCAGCTTCACCACCTTCGACCTGACGCAGATCCTGCTCCGCAAGCTGCAGCACGGCCCCGGCCTCGAGAGGTAGTGGCTTTGTGTACAAAGAGCAGGTCGTTCTTCCCTGGCCTCCCACGTGCTCCTGCAGCTGGGAACTCGCCTGTTTGTTGGGGGGTTTTTTTCCTGTTGTTTTCGGATTGGATTTTTTTCTCCTTTTTAATTTGGAAGCCTGACCGTTCCCTAAGTGAAAAATTGCCGATCCTGCAGAGCTGAGTCCTCCAAAGCAGCTGCTGCCTCAGCCTTGTGCTGGACTCTGCCCCCAGGAGTGGAGCCTCCCCACCCCACCTGTGCTGCTCCTGGCTCCTCACCTGGCTCTCCGTGGGCAGAGGGAAGCGGTGGCTGATGGAAGAGGGGGCTCGGAGCTGTTGGGAATGAACCCCTGGATCTGGGAAGGGGCAGTTTTGTAGCTCCCTACATTCTGCCAAGTGCAATATCCCAGTGTAGTCCGTAGGGAATTCCAGATTCCCCTGGGCTGTGGAAGCAGGGCAGAGCAGGCCCAGGACACTACACTTGTTCCGAAAGCTGAATGTTTCCTCTGGCTGGGAACGCTGCCCTTTTTGCATGGATTTCCTTGCTTTTGGGTTGAGCTGCATCAATGTCCCTCGTTTGTGGTGTCCCTCTGAGATTACCAAAGACTGGAGGCAGCAGAGGAGGGGAGTTCTGAGCCTTTTTATAAAGGAAATTTTCCTCTGTGTGCTGTCGGTGTCGCCGAGCAAGGTCTGTGCCTGGATTCCCAAACCGGATCCACTCCAGCTGCATCTGTGTTTTCCTTCTGTGCTGCCCTGCCCTGGAGAGGCAGCGTTTTCCAGGGCTGCAGGCACTGAGGGAGGAGGTGTTCCATCCTCCCAAACCCCCTTTTTTCATTCAGTGTTATCGCTGCTCTATGCACCGTGGGAGAACAAACCCTGCTGCAGCCTGGGCTGTCCCCAAAAAAAGCTGTCCCTGGGAGCTGAGCCCGGCCCCTGGGCGTCCTGGTTGTCCTTTTTGGTACCTGCTGTGTAGGTCCTGTCACCTCTGTTCACTAACTCATCCCCTCAGCTGTTTTATCCCTAAAATCCCCCTTGGAATTTAACCCTTGTGGGCACCACAGCGCTGACCCTGCAGTGCCAATCACTTCCAGCTGGGATTCCACAGCCAACGGTCGGGAGTCTCTCAGTGTTCCTCTTTCCAATCAGTTTTCAGGGAAATGGAGATTTTTTTGGTGGGTGATCCATCCCTCTGTTGAATTCAGAAGTCAGAGCAGACTTCAGACTCCTCTGATGATAGATTACACAAACCAAGGTGGAAAAAATCCCTTTCCAGAGAGTCCATAATGTAAGAAAAAACCAAGATTTACCTTAAAACCTGTCCTTTCCTGGTTGTTCTGTGCTTTAGCTGTTGTAGCTGGATGGGAATGAGTGGGAATGGAAGGAATTGCACAAGGGGGCAGGAGCAGCCTTCTCCTTTCTTTTTTGTCTTTGCACTTCTTCGGAGCACCAAGCTGCTCCTGATGCCAAATATTTCCTTAGGAATCAGGGGATGTGGGAGTGGCACTGCAGTGTTGGCACACAGATTGTCCCCAGCACTGGAACTGGGATTTAACCTCAGCAATTCTGCCCCTGAGCCCAGCAGGGCCACACATTCCCTGATTTACCTGGGAGTTAAAGACCCCTGGGGTTTGGGGAGGTGGTGGCCACGAATTCTGTGTCATTGTTTTGGGGCTGTGGAAATCTCCCAGCTCTGCTTTCCCCTGGCTCTGCCCCCATTTCTTTTCTCCAGTGGAGAAGCCAATTTCCCTGCTCTAGTCCTGATCCAGAGGGAGGAATTCCCAGCAGTGTTTATGTCCTCTCCCTTCCTTGTCCCCTCCCAGCTGGGAAAAGCAGGATTTCCAGGAGCCTGGGAGTGCTGACAAGCTTTTCTTTTAATCAGCAGCTGCACCTGATTTAAATTCAGAATTTCAGCCAATTTCCCCACAAGTTTTGCAGGCTGGGTGTTCGTCCAGGGGCAGATCCTTGAGTTCAGCCTCTGATGGTTTTGGTGCTTTTGTTTCTCAGAGTGTGTTGCTGCTTTGGGTTGGTTTAAAAAGCTTTTTTTTTCCCTTTTTTTCCCTTTTTTTTGAATGTAGAAAAGGGGAAACAGAGTGTTCCCTTCCCTTCTCTTCTTCCCTGCATGGATTCACACACGTTCCAGATTTTTTTCTGGGGTGTGCTGGCCAGGAAGAGCTCTGAGAAAGGAAACAAAACAGGAGTTTTTCCCTTTTTTTTTTCCTTTTTTCCCTTTCCTGCAATTCCCTAATTTTTCATTTTCTTCCTCTCAAATTTAATTCCCCACTCCCCTTTCTCACAGATCCTTAAAGCATCACCACCAAATTTGTGCTTTTTGTTTTTCTTTTCCTCTCCCTCTTCCTGCACCTTGAGCCCCGCACTGGCACTTCGAGAAAACCAGGTCCAGAAAATTGCACCCAAAACGTCAAAATTGCAGCTTTTCAGCATTTTTCCAACAGCCCAAGCACGTGTTCCCCTCACGGCCTGGATGCTCCAGGCACTTCAGGCACCAGGGGATGGTTTGGGGGAGCTTTCCTGAGCTCCTTGGCCCGTTTGGCATCTTCACTTTGTACCTTCTGGGGGCTGATTTCCCCCTCTATTCACACTTTTTCCCCTTTTCCCCCCTTCTTTTCCCTTTTTCCCCTCCCCCCCCCTTTTTCTCTTTTCCCCCCATTTCTTTTCCCCCC